ATTCAGTTCCCACATGGCCACAACAGCCAGATCTGTGCCAAGATGAAGCCAGGAGCCAGGAACTCCATCCAGGTCTCCCACATGTGTGTCTAAGCACTTGGGCCCTCTTCTGCTTTCCTAGCAGAGAGCTGGAGAGGAAGAGGAGCAGCTGGGACTTGAATTGGCACGGCAATCGGGGAAGACAGTGTCACCAACGGCGGCTTAACCCACTGCTGCACAGGACCACTGCACATCTCCACAGTTGGAGCAGTGACTGAGAGCGTGAGCTCTGGAGCCAGGCTGTCTGGACCCGATTCCTTTTTTAGCTGTGTCACCTTCAGCAAGTCCCTTCACAGCTCTGTGCCTTGATCTCTTCATCTGTAAAATAGGGGTGGTCATAGTAAAAATACTTGGCTTATACAGATGACCTGAACACTGAGTAATTAATACATGCAAACCACTAAGAATGGTGCCTTGCAGTGTTAACTGTTGCTGTCATCACCACCACCACCAATATTGCCATCTACATCATTTTCATCATCATCACCATTGCCAACACAACCACCATCATCATCTCCGTTACCAGCATCATCTTCATTATCATCACCCTCATTACCTCCCCCACCACCGTCATTATCACCATCACCCTCATCACCACCCCCACCACCGTCACCAACATCAGCATCATCACCACCACCACCACTGTCTTTATCACCAGCATCATCATCATCACCACCGTCAGCATCATTACTGCTGCCACAGAGAAGTCTGAAAATTTCTCTGGGCCTCCAGGATAGAACACAGAATAACAGTCGCCCTGACTTTGTGCAGGAAGCCACAAGCTAGAGGCCAGGGCCCCAGCTCAGGAGAGGATGGGAAAGGAAGGCGCAGGGTGACCTGTGAAAGATACTCTCCCCCAGAGCCTGTATCTGAAGCCAACTCTGCAGGCTGAAAGGTGACCTAGGCAGGAAGGGCTGTTTCCTCTGTTGCACCTGTCACGCCTTCAAGGAATTTGGAAATAATTGAGCTGCCAACCAGTTGAGCCGGGGCTGTTTTGACACACTCAAGGAATGACAGAGAGACCAGGACAAATGCCAGCGATGAAAGGACAGAGCCTCTTCCAGACAGGGAGGTGTCGGGAGCGGGACTGCTGAAGTGTCCGGGCTGGCCCCGGCTTCCTTTAATATTGTTTTAAAAGAGCTGCAGGAGGTGGGGGTGTGAGGAGCACAGCAAGCCCTGGGTTTCCAGATGAAAAGGACAAGAAAAGGGAAATTGATGACATGAAAACAGGAAGATCTTAAGACCCTGTGCAGGTGAGCTGGAAGGAGGGAGATGCATCGAAGGTGAGCAGGTTCAAGGTGACACACTTTACAAAATGAGAGCTTTTAGAGAGCGCCCCTGAGCACACCACCGGCTTCACACATCACCAAGAAGAACAGTAAAAACAAAATTAGACATTAACCTCCTTAGTGTCTTTTCCCCCAAACTCCCTGTGTTTGGGGGCTGCTCTGAGCCCCAGCTCAGTGAGGCGCAGTAGCGTCAAGCCTGGGAACAGATGAACCGGGGGGAGGATGGTTCCAGGGGGAGCCTGTCTCAGCTGAGTGGGCCATCTGGCTTGTTCAAGTGCTGATGGCCTTGTTACCTTTCAGAGGATGACCTACAGAGAGGATAAAAGCCATAACGCTGCTATCAATTCCCAAGAGGCCCTATCAACTCAAGTGGTAGATGACTGTGTTTTTCTCTCCAGAAAGCTTGTGTGCCATCAGGGTCCCCCATGGCCAGTGGCAATATTTGTGAGCCACGAATGCTTGGGGTGAGCTGGTTATAAGGCCACTTCCTATTTCTTATGCCCCACAGTTCAGCGTCCACGATCGATGTCCCTGTGTGAGCTCATTGCCTGGATGGCCTGAAAGGACTCTCTGGCCAGCTGGCTCTCCCAAATGAGCTCATTCTGTCTTTTCCACTCCTCCATTTTCTTCCATGAGGCTGAGTTTAAGAGCCAAGCTGATTTGGCTTTTAAACAGTATTATGTGTCATCTAAATACATACATTTCACTGGGGGAAACGTCCTAAATATGATATTCCCGTGAGTCACCCAACAGCTGTGCTGGCCCTGCAGTGCAAACCTGCATCCCCGTCGTCACAGCGCTGGCAGAAGCGTAGAGCAAGGTCACGTTTCAGGATGGGTGAACCCAAGAGGAACAGGGGGAGGCCACCTCCTGGCCTTCCAAGGGGACCTTCAGGATTGCGAAGAAAGAACATCAGCCAAAAAGAGCAGCACCCACAGAAAATTTGGCCAAGGTCCAAGGAGCTCACGATGGATTTGGAATTAATAGAGAGAGGGGAAGACAAGCAAGGTGGAGCTATTCCGTCTCTCTTTGCTTTGATTCCCTACTCTGAGTGTGAAAGCAAACCCGACACCCTTCCCAGCCACCACCGTCGCCAAGTGCTAGGGATCTTGGGTTCACACACAAGTGAGCTAATATTTGCAAAGCCACGCGGTAAAATCAAGAGTGCCATGGGAAGCGCTCCGTTGTCATTATTATCACATAAATGACCGCTTAGGACGGTGGCTGTCTCTCTCCCTGATGTGACGGTGTCGGGGGACTGGGAAGAAGGAGGAAAGGGCCTGGGAAGAAAGAAGGTCGCATTGCAGATTTTTGACTTTCAAATGTCAGAGGGTCTTAGAGGAATGCCTTTGCTATAGCCTGCCGTATTCAATGAATTCAAAATTCAGGAGGCAGAAAGATAAAAAAGAGTCCATTTCATTTTACTTTCCCCGGATGACAATTTAGCTCTGCATTTCCATAACCTAATTAATGGGAGGCCACCCATGTCACTGTGGAGGAAGGCGCACTGTACATTACCATATTTCCCTGCTGAGCCCTACTGAGAGGAGAATTTGGGAAGGAATCCTTAAATCACGCTAATAGATTGCCTATTTTCTGGAATCACATCTTGAGACCACCCCCAAGGGACAGCCAACAATCAAAAGGTGTAAGGATAATATTCTCCATTGTTTAGAGGGTTTTTGTGGGAGATTATCCTAACAGAGCTGTCACCTTTAAATCTTAATCCTTTTTTTTTTTTTTTACATGAGTTTCACATTTTCAGAAGTCCAAGAATGCCTCTGGCCAAGGTGGCCTAAGGACATTTCCAAAGGAACAGGCAATCAAGAGAATGAGTCTCAGAGCAAAGGATGCCCTTTGTGGTGCAACTGTCCCCATAGCCCCAGCTTTGATGTTTGCCCTCCTTGCCAGGCGTGCACACACCTCTGAAGCAGGCAGCCGTGGGTCCTGTGCCAAGGATCCCAAGTGGAACGTGCTGTCTTCTAATAAAAATCCGAAATTAAATCCTCATGTCCTTTGATAACATCTTTCAAAAGCAAAATTGCCTGCTCAATTATCCAGACAGCACTTTTTGACTATACAGAGAAAAATGGCACGCAACAGAGTTAATACACTTAATATTAGATTTTCAGAGGCATGTACCATACAATATTTGTGTTAGTGGAATTAATTCAATTGAGTTGTGCTTACCAAGAAATTATTTAATTATTATATTGCTGGTTGAACAGGTGACATAATAAAATAACATTCTCTTCTTTTTAAAAAAAAAGTCATATTTATTGCCGGGTGATAGGAAGAAATCAAGAGAGCAGTGGAAACCATTACTGAGAAGGCTTGAACAACCACAATTTACTACAAAGAGATAAAAACCAAACACCTCAGCCATATTATGGCCATAATTGTCTGCAGTTTACCCATCTTGTAAAATAAACGGATCATGAAATGTGAGAGCACGTTTCAAAACATACATAGAAGGTGTTAGAGTGATTACGCGTGGGCTTGCCTGGCTTCCCTGTAAATTGTTTGTCTTTCAGTGGGAAGTGGAAAGGTATTAATTAGCAGTGATTTTGACAAGATGGGAGTCCGCGGGCTTTGGCTGGGAGAGAACTCGTCCAAGGGGCCTGCATGCTTTCAGGGGGATTGGATCTCTTGCGTCTCAGCTTTTAATGGCATTTTGTTGTGTGCTAATCCCTCCTACGGCCACACATTCGCAGATCTGAGATCTGATGCATGTGTGCGTGGCTCCAGTTGCAACACAGAGCTTTCCTCTCCCAACTCCAGGTGGCAGACAGAAGCTGGGCTGCGGAGCTGGCCCCAGGGAGCTGCAGACCGAGGACTGGGACAGCGGCCACCGTGCCAGCTGTCTTTTACCGCGTTCGAGGTGCTGGAGCTGAGACAAAATCTGACTCCACGCTCTCTTCCCTTCCTTCCCGGCTCTCCTCGCTGAGCGCTTGCCACCAGCAGGTCCTGCAGCCACGGGAATTTATCGCTTTCCACTGTTCCCCTTGGCTGCATCCCCAAGCCCAGCGACTCCCCCTCTCTGGAAGACTCCATAACTCAGCCGGCATCTAATCAGCGTCTTGCTGCCTTCCCATCCTTCCCTGCGCCGGAGCCGTGATTCTTTCTCCTTCCCCAGTGGAAGGCGGCTCACAGCACAGGCGATCCTGGAGTGAACCCCACCGCATCTCAGCAGAGGCTGAGATGAGCTCCATGACACCCCCACACCGACAGCGAGCCAGCTTCGCCCCAGCCGCAGACCTGGCCGCCGTCTCTCGCTCAATGTGTGAGCCCGTGGGTCCCACTCACAGACACAACCGTTGTGCTCTTTCCTGAGACATTTCGGGGGTTCTGGAGGATTTGTGATGTCCTCTTGTCCAGGCACAAAGAGGGCCATAGGGAAGAGCTTCCTTGGCCAAGCCGGGAACAGGCTGGCAGTGTGTGGGCAAAGGGGTCTGGCGCCAAAGGCCGACAGTCATTCTTGGTCATCTGTCTTGCCCACCACTGATGGAGTCCCTGGCACTGGGGAACGCCCCCACCACTGCGGCTACAGCAGCAGGACAACGTGGAAATGAAAGATGGGTCTTTTGAAGTGGAATTCACCGGGCTCCGTGCTGTGTGTGTGTGTGTGTGTGTGTTCTTCACACCAGCTCACTTTTTTTTTTCTTTTGGCAGTATGGATCAGCATTCATCAGTCCCTTCATTTTGCAAAGGGAGTGCAAGAAACTGTGAGCTTTTGGCCAGAAGATGACCGGTCGCCTGTCATCCACCACTCACGGGACAGGTAGTTGGGGCATAGCCACCATCCCTCTGCACACAAGAAACAGATCACATGTCCGGAAATAAAGTTTTTTAAAATGTATTTATTTTTATTCCTTTGAAAGGCAAAGCATAGGGGGTAGGAAGGAGAAAGAGGGAGAGAGAGAGAGGGATTCCATCTGCTAATTTACTCCCTGGAGATGAACCAGGCCAAAGCCAGGAGCCAGGAACTCTATCTGCGTCTCCCAAGTGGGTGGCAGGGCCAGAGTACTCGAGCCGTCACCCACTGCTTTCCCAGGTGCCCAGGAAGCTGACCTGAAGTGGAAGTGGAACTCAATCCCAGGCGCTCCAGCATGTGTAGGGACATCCCAAGTGCAGCTTAACCCACTGCACCACAATGCCCACCCCGTTGGGATATTTTCAAACGTCTGCATCCTCCAGTGCAGCTCAGAGACCTCACCAAGCTGTGGCTGTCGTCTTCACCGCGTGCAATCATGTATCTCACAATTTGGTGATAACAGTAGTAAAGCACCGTTATAGGAGCCATGGAGGATTTTAGGGCAATGAAGCCACTTTGTGTGATCCAGCAATGGTGGCTCCCTTGTGTTAAAACACGTGTGCAGAACACACCACACCAGCAGGGGATCCTAACTCACAGCATGGACTTGGGTCATGATCACGTGTCAATAGAAGTCCATCGGTTGTCACAAATGCCCCCTTCTGATGGGGCGAGAGTGTTGACAACGTGGACTGTGGGCGGCCAGGGGATACCTGGGAAATCTCGGTATCTTCTGCACCCGTTCGCTGTGAACGGAAAACTGTTCTTCATTCAAAAGCAGTCTGTTAAAACAAACAAGCAAGCAAACATTGGGTCATCCCACCAAAAAGCCTTTATGGAATGAGACCAACTTAAAAATACTTTTTAATTAGCTGTGTCATACAATTGAAGGGTATCTTTGTTCTTTTTCAGGGGGAGAAAGACAGCGGCAGCGAACGAGGGACAGAAACAAAGGGCACCTGCTACAGGCGAACCTGGGACACGTGTCTAAAAATAACACCTGCAGCTTCCTCTTTGGCTTTAATTATTTTAACACCCCTGGTGAGCTGTCTGCGAGCGCGGATGGGAGCATCTCCAGAGCCTCTCCGGCAGCCCCTGACGCTTGGTTTGTTACTTTATTTAAAGCTGACACCCAGCGAGGGAGGGAAGCAAGAAGCTGAGGTCCAGGAGGGACATGGGGAACAACGGCACATCCACCTACGGCTGTCGGCAGGACGCCAGCTCCCCAGACAGCACGGCTACAGAGGAGTCTGAAAAGCGCCCCACGCTCAGACCTCCCGCCCTGCCTTCTCTGCAGGACCCAGCTCTTCTGAGCGTGAAGGCGGAGCTCGTGTCTTTTCTGCGGCACCAGGAACACAGACTCCATCGGTGGCGACAGCAGTCGCAATAGCGGGTATCTCTGCTGGGCCTCTCCCGGAGAGGAAGTTTCTGGGATGCTGGATTCCGTACCCTGCGGTGGATGTAGTCGCTTTCCGAATGGTCACCGAGCTGCACCCTTGAGATCCGGTGACTCCCTCTATGTGAGCTACACCTCACGAAGTTGTGCCTTCCCACGATCTTTAGCTCACAGGCTATGAAAGATGTCAGGTGGAGTGGGTGTTTGGCACCATGGTGAAGATGCCACTTGGGATGCCTCCTCCTATATCAAGGTGCCTGTGTTCAAGTCCCCAGTCTCTTTCCCACCCAGCTTCCTGCTTACGCGCACCCTGGGAGGCAGCAGATCAAGGATGTGGGTCCCTGTCAACCCCGTTGGAGACCTGGATGGAGTTCTGGGCTCCTGGCTTTGACTGGGCCAGCCCCAGCTGTTGTGGGCATTTAAAGACTGGAGCAGTGGTTGGAAGATCTCTCTGCCTTTTTTTTAAAGATTTTTTTAATTTGAAAATCAAAGTTAGAGAGAGAGAGAGATCTTCCATTCACTGGTTCACACCCCAGAAAGTCACAACATCCAGGGCTGGGCCGTGCTGAAGCCAGGAGCTTCTTCCAGGTCTCCCACGTGGGTGGCAAGAGCCCAAACTTTTCCCAGGCTGTTAGCAGGCAGCTGGATCAGAAGTGGAGCAGCCGGGACTCAAACCAGCACCCACAGCTGGGATGCCTGCATCGCAAGTGGTGGCTTTGCCCACTATGCTACAATGATGGCCCCCTCTCTGCTTTTTAAATGGAAATAAATAGCTGTGGAAGACGAAAGATGCTAAGCACACAGAAGTGTGTGGAGAACAAGGAGTTGCGAAGCGTATACGCACAGTGTCACCTTACCACGGCTCAGTACTTTTCCATTTCCTCCAAATCTCCTTCTTTCCTTTGTGAAGAAACCTCTGTGGGTCTCTCTGATCCCATCTTACCTGCCTTCCTGGAGGTGACACCATCCTGCTCTTAGTGTTTCTGGTCTCCCCAACATATACAGTTTATGTAGCCATAAGAGATCCGTTCTATTGTTCTACAGGATTTTACACAAATGAGATGGCTTAGTTCAAGCCATTCTGCAACTTGCTTTTTCAGGCAAGAGATTTTGTTCGGAGGATGCTGCGTGTGGATTTATGTGGCTCCATTCCTCTCATGTTAACCACCACGCAGCACTCCATTGAGCAGATGGAAACACTGCCATCTATTCAGCCTTCTCCTAAACACAGACCTTTAAGTGGAAACACAAAGGATTCTTTTTTTTTTTTTTTTTTTTGACAGGCAGAGTGGACAGTGAGAGAGAGAGAGAGAGAGAAAGGTCTTCCTTTGCCGTTGGTTCACCCTCCAATGGCCGCCGCGGTTGGCGCGCTGCGGCCGGCGCACCGCGCTGATCCGATGGCAGGAGCCAGGAGCCAGGTGCTTTTCCTGGTCTCCCATGGGGTGCAGGGCCCAAGCACCTGGGCCATCCTCCACTGCACTCCCTGGCCACAGCAGAGGGCTGGCCTGGAAGAGGGGCAACCGGGACAGAATCCAGCGCCCCGACCGGGACTAGAACCCGGTGTGCCGGCACCGCTAGGCGGAGGATTAGCCTAGTGAGCCGCGGCGCCGGCCGACACAAAGGATTCTTGCTGCATCCTGAACACCCTCTCCCTTCCTTATCCAGAGCAGCATGCGCACTTACAAGGCTACCATTTCTACTTTTCTCGCTCCGGGTGTGGCCATGTCTATACTCTGACCGTTACTGCATAAGCAGGAGCTTCCTACACAAGAAGATTCCCTTAAAAGGGGACAGACGAGACTGTGCCCTCTGCTTCTCCTCCGTTCCCCTCTTCTTGTCGCTTGGAAGGCGGATTCGAGAGCTGAAGCTCCAGAACCATGTGAAACCAGGCGGTGATACCGAGGATGCGCGCTGCCTGCTCAGCGTGGCCGAGCCTGAAGGAGACAACTTGTGATCCAGTGAGACTCTGAATCTGCTCTTCACCTCGGTTCCCGACTCGCAGCCTGAACACCCTTGCAATTGCCTGAGGGACGAAGTCCAGAGGAACACCTTTCACCATCAGCAGCAAGCCCCTTGCAACCATAGCTCAGTTTACACTGAGTAGCTCTCCACTGACCCCAGAGAGCTTGATGAGTAGGAGGGTCCAAACTGGCAGCCTCCTCTGCCATCGGCCTCCAAGGAGGGGAGAGGAGCAGGAACAGAAGTCCATCATGTGGTCCGTGATGTAATCTTTCACCCCTGCCTGTGCAGCAGGACCTCCTTAGAAACCCTAAGGGAGGCCGGCGCCGCGGCTCACTAGGCTAATCCTCCGCCTTGCGGCGCTGGCACACCGGGTTCTAGTCCCAGTCGGGGCGCCGGATTCTGTCACGGTTGCCCCTCTTCCAGGCAAGCTCTCTGCTGTGGCCAGGGAGTGCAGTGCTTGGGCCCTGCACCCCATGGGAGACCAGGAGAAGCACCTGGCTCCTGCCTTTGGATCAGCGCGGTGCGCCAGCCGGCGGCCATTGGAGGGTGAACCAACGACAAAGGAAGACCTTTCTCTCTGTCTCTCTCACACTGTCCACTCTGCCTATCAAAAAAAAAAAAAAAAAGAAGAAAGAAAAGAAAGAAACCCTAAGGGAAAGGGTTCCGACAGCCTCTGAGATGACGGATACACTGAGATGCTGGGAACCCATGGGGCAGCAGGAGAGGACCAGCTGCTCGGCGCCCACCCCACTCCTTGCCCTCCACCTCGGGGGCTGTGCTCCCTCCAGTACCTGTCAGACTCAAGCTGAGCACTGGGCCATGCAGCGGGGGTCTGGAGAGATGGAGAACTGGCCGGTGTGAGGGAAAGCGCCATGATGTGGGGAAAGCGCTGGAAGCACAGCTGGGAGGAGGGGCCGGAGCTCCTGCTCATACCCAGCTTCACGGGACCCTGCCGGGCGTCCAGCCGGGCGTCCAGCTTCACCGACCCTGCAGGGCGTCCAGCCGGGCGTCCAGCTTCACCGACCCTGCCAGGCGCCCGGCAGCTCGGGACCCTGATAGGCGTCCAGCTTCACCGGACACTGCAGGGCGTGGGAGGTTTGACCATGCCTGCCTCTCTCCTCTCCTGCTGCTCTTTCTCGGGCTTCTGCATTTTGGGTCTGAGAGGACAGGCGGGACACAGCGTCTGGTTGCTTTGATCTGCCTTTGCCTCATTCCTCATGGGCTTGGGCAGTCTGTCTTTTTCATTTAAAAAAAATCTATCTATTTGAAAGGCAGAATTAGAGGCAGAGACAGAGACAGAGATCTTCCACCTGCTGGTTCACGCCCCTAATGACTGCAGCAGCCAAGGCTGGGCCAAGCTGAAGCCAGGAGCCCAGAACTCCATATGGTCTCCCACATGGGTAGCAGGGGCCCGAGCGCTTGCGCCCTCTCCCACTGTCTTCCCAGGCCTGTCAGCAGGGAGCTGGATGGGAAGCAGAGCAGCCAGGAAGACATCAGCGCTCCCATATGGTCTGCTGGCATCACCAGCCCCGGCTTAGTCTGCGGCACTACCATGCTGGCCCCAGCTTGGACACTTTTTCCATGTATTCATTTGCTGAACAGATTGCCCTATCCACAAATTATCTGTTCATTTTTGGCTATTTTCCTATTGGGTTCTTTTCATGTTTCTTCTAATCAATTTTACTAAGGCATGTTTTCACTTTGTCTTTTGTTGTACAGAGGTTTTTGTTGTTCTAGCCAAATTTATCCATTTTTTCCTTTGAATTTTTAAAAAGTTTCAAGTATCTATGTTTATTTATTCCTTTCTGTTCCTATGATTCTTCATTTGTACCTTTTCTAGCCCCTTTAAAAGTCCATCTCCTAGGGGCCAGCGTTGTGGTGCGGTGGGTTAAGCTGCAGCCTGCAATGCCAGCATCCCATATGGGCACCAGCTTGAATCCCAGCTGCTCCACTTCCAATCCAACTCCCTGCTAATGTGCCTGAAAAAGCAGCAGCTAACGGACCAAGTGCTTGGGCCCTTTCCACCTACACGGGAGACCTGCATGAAGTTCCACACTCCTGACTGCGGCCTGGCCTGGCTCCAGCGAGCCAGGCGCTTCTTCTGGTCTCCCATGGGTGCAGGGCCCAAGCACTTGGGCCATCCTCCACTGCACTCCCGGGCCACAGCAGAGAGCTGGCCTGGAAGAGGGACAACCAGGACAGAATCCGGCACCCCGACCGGGACTAGAACCTGGTGTGCTGGCGCCGCAAGGTGGAGGATTAGCCTATTGAGCCGTGGCGCCAGCCCACAAAGGTCATTTTTTATAAATATTTTTATTTATTTATTTGAAAGGCAGAGTTACAGACAAAGAGAAGGAGAGACAGAGAAAAAGATCTTCTATCTGCTTGTTCACTCCCCAAATGGCCACAATGGCCAGAGCTGGGCTGATCCAAAGCCAGGAACCAGCTGGGACACAAACCAGCACCCACATGGGATGCTGGCACTGCAGGCAGAGGCTTAGCCAACAATGCCATAGCACCAGCCCCCCCCAAAAAGTCATTTTTTAAATATAATTTTAAAATTCCAGTGCCATAGTTCATTGCACTTGTCCACGTATTTTGTGGTTTTTATGCTGTCCCTTGTTCTCATCTTTTACACCTTTGTTCTTTGTTGACTTTCTTTCTATCGTGAGCATCCATCAGTAGTATACCCCCATGGGTGGCACATATAATAATGTCTCTATTTTGTCTTTACAACTGCTGGACAGTTTAGCTGGATATAGAACCCCAGAAAGACTGTACAGAAAGCTCTCTGCACTGTACATGTCACATTTTATAATCACAGATGGTTTGATGACTGTGTGTCTCCCACCGGAATGACTTTTGCTTGTGTGTTCCCTGTGTAGCCACCCTAGAACAATGCCAGGCACTGGTAGGCCTTGAATAAACAGATACTGAATGAGTGAGTGTGTGAACGAGTGAATCCTTCACAAGGCTCTGTGTCCTCGAGGGCCAGGTGGGCATCTTCCCGCACGGGGCTGAGCTGCAGGGTCCTGCCCAGTGCCCAGGAGGAACCAAACTTCAGAGCAGGAACACAAAAATGCAGCCGATGTCCAAAACAAAACAGGGAGTGCTATTCTGAGACATGAGTGCCTTTTGAAGAAGCCAACTTCGATTCTCTAGCTTCACATTTTCTCCCCTGGCGCTGGCTGCGATGGAGCTGGGAGATTGTACGGAAGCAGAGCCTCCTGTTGAAGCGATCCACATTCTGCACAAACTTTCGAAGACCCGCTCACGGGGCCGATTTCGGTCGAGTCGTCATCCTTAAGTGGCGTGTGATAGGTCATTGCTGGAGGCGCCTTTAAGGGAGAGGGTGTCACAGCGTTCAGGGGCAGGCTGCAGCAGAGGCAGAGCCACGGAGGAAATACTCAGCAGTCACGGCTGTGGGCGCAGGCAGGGGCAGCCAGCTGGTGCCCCCGCGAGAGGAAGTGCATTAAGGTTGTACAGGAGGCATTGAAAGAGTTAGCCCCCGGAGAGCACTAATGTGCTTCGATTTGGTCATTTATAAAATGGCAGGAACTATTAGGACTTGGGAAAGATGACTGGTCTTTACCGGTTGGAGGACACAGGGGTCACCCATATGTTGACAAAGTGAAAGGGAC